TTGCATTAGAACAGACACCAACAGATAACACTTACTCGTAGGTGCATTTTTCTTACGGGACTATTCCCACCTCTCGTTCCAACCGCTGCAACTTCTGTGTAGCCAGTATCTACAGCTTGACCGTCAAGAAATGTATTTTTTTTTAAATAGCAACTAATACAACTGTGATTAGCTTGGTGTGCCAACTGCCATCGTCCATATAGCTATAACATAGACTTCAAATTGTAGCTGAGAGCAGCGACTCTACTTCCAATTAACTAAATTGGACGGATAATTAAAAGCCTTTCCATTTTTCTTCGTCTCGAAAAGTAAAACATTACTTTTGTTCTTTTTAGATCTTGCTCTTTCAGCGTAATGATTTATTGAATTGTTTTCTATTTCTAACAAATCTTAAGGTAACTAGTTAGTTAACAATACACTTAGCTACCAATACACTTCAATTAGGATTCAGTACTAAATAAAAAGAGATTCTACGAGTAGAGACATTATTATTTTAGCGTTGGGAAGTTTTTGTGTCCTTACACAGCTAGGAACAGTAAATAGAAGAACTTAAAACTTAATTAGACCGTAGGTGTACCATTTCTTCTAATATTATAGTGTACAACGAGAAATTTGATTTAAATAAAGTAGGTAGAAGTAGATACCTACTCGTATTAGCCACCAAGAAAAATTGTCTGAACGTAACTTATGAAATTGAAAAACAACAAAAGTTATAGGACTGAAGCTAAGTAGGTACTATATAATTATAGGACCTACTTACATAATAGGGTACCGAAGGACTAACTGCGATAACAACCTGACTAGACTAATTTATTTTTCTTCTTAAATGTCTTCTTCAATTTTCATCTCTTTCAATCCATTATTAGCGTTGAGATGAATCTCCTGCCTCAAAGATTTATTCTTGCGAGACCAATAATAAGGCGTCTTACAATTTGGCGAAGAAAATCTCTTTTTAATTGCGCTCATCTTAAACCCGCCATAAATTTGAATACTACGATCCAACGTTGCAAGTTACAAATTATAATGATGATCCCTTGAAATGGATTAAATTAATTGGACAAGATCCACAACTTTAAGGTGATTAAATAGATCTTATTAACTATGAAGCCGACTTTTATGGCCATTCTTACTTAAGCAAAACCAGTACCTATAGTACGTCACTTACTTTATCAGGTTTTGTTTTGTAGATAATAGGTATTAATCTGATAAGCTGCTGCTGTCTTACATATTACCATGATTAATACATAATATTGTAATCATTACATTGAAATCGTCACATCACTTACTATCAGGTGAGATGGTCAATAGCTTGGGGATACAAAAAAATCTTACTTGATATTGGTACTTACTTATGTAAGCAGCGTCGGACTGGCCATACAGTCGGGGTGGCATTTGCCAGCCGGGCCCCAGCCTGCGCGGGCCCCCCACGGCCTGGGTTGCCCGCGTGCATGTCTCGGAAACTATGCGTCGTACAAAAAAATTGTACAGTCATAATTTGTAGAAAATTGCTTTGCCTACAAATATGTAAATATAACTATTTGCTGTAAAATAAAGATTAAAGAAGTTATAAGCAAAAAATAAAAAATCCTTTTTTCTTATGTATTACTTCTCTAATTTTTATTTTAGGACAAAAAGTTATGTAAACATAATATTATTTGTAGGCAAAACAATTTGCTACAAATTATGACATAGTGAATTTTTGTAAGACGCTTAAAAAGTGTTTTCAGCCCTTTTTTCAAGATGGCGGTTGGGGGACAAGGGTGGCGACCCCAAAAACTTGAGGTTAAGCTTCTATTGACCACATTGACCCACACATGTTCCAAAAATAAAATTGCGTCCTCTAATAAATGCAATACTGGGAAAATTGCCGGGAAAGGACGGGAGATTTATTTTGCTTTTTTTTATGAATTACAGTGTTCAATTCTCAAAGTTTCATTCACGCAAGTGACTTGTGAGAGACGATTTTCAGCATTAAAGCGCATTAAAACGAGACTTCGTTCTCTACTGGGGCAAATTATAGATACAGTGTGAGTCACGATAAAGTGTACATATGAAATTAGGTGAAACTAGACCTATTTTTATCGACAAAAAAGAGGTCATTTATATGAGATTTTTTTAAAAAAATATAAATAATTTTTTTTAAAAAAAATTAAGAAGTACATCCTGATAAAATAAAAACATGAATAATGCTAAATAACAGACGATACAAAAAAAAAATACTCAGAAAATGCCAACAAATAATAAAAAGTAGTACTTTTTGAAATAAATCTACTTATAAATTCGCGTTTTTTGGTTATTTGATAATGTTTTCCAATATAACAGGTGGTTTTTATTGCTTTGTATTATTCTCTATCGTACCTATTACCTTTGTCAAACCAAAAATCGCATGTCTCTATCCCTATCACAATATTTAATATGATCGTTTGAACTAAGCCTCTCCGGGCCCGCCATTCAACGCTTCGTTAACAACTAAACTGAAAATGGCTCTAGATTTGTAATTTTGATAAAGACAATTTAGATTTCAATACGAATACGATAGAGAATAATACAAAGTAATAAAAACCACCTGGTTTAGGGGCATTTTTTGGAGAAATTTATCAAATAACCAAATAAAAAGGATTTAAAAGCAGATTTTTTCCAATTAAATATAATTTATTATTATTTGTTGGCATTTTCTGAGTATTTTTTTTTGTATCGTCTGGTATTTAGCATTATTACTGTTTTTACAGGTTATACCTCTTAGTTATAAAGTTATTACGTTTTCTTTACAAAAAGTAATTGGAAGAAAAAAAATCTATAAAAAATTAAAAAATCTCAAAAAAATTTTGGCCTCTTTTTTGTTGATAAAAATAGATCTACACTCGCGAGCAAAAGTATGGAATCACTTACATGAAGTTGTTTCCACGCGATCTTCTGTACTAACGAATTTGTTAGTAACAAAAAAAGTGGCACCATTTTAAAGATTGGACTTTTAACTTTAAGAAAGAAAGAAAGAAAGAAAAAATGTTTATTCAGTATCATCGACAATACACTTGCAATACTTAACATTATTTAATGAGAAGGTAATTACAATGATACTGAAAAGGTATCCACTCAGCATGATGTCGTAGCATCTCAGTAGATAATGCCACGACGCTGGTCTTCCGTGGACACCCAAACAGGGAGAGCACTACTGCGCACAACAATTGCTTATGAATCATGATACATAATTACTTTAAATTAATACCAAATTCATTTAAATTACACCAGTATTTTAAAAGATATCCCGGCTGATGTGAAGAAGTAAGGAAAAAGACATGTATGAACTGTTTGATATGTCGCGAGTTGCGGCCTATTTACTCCCTGTAAAAGTACGTGTTTACATCTCCGCTTCTTTTGACACTTTTTAACAAAACTCGCCTCCATTACTCGCCTTCCCATCGACATAAGTGCGAGCTAATTGAAAGCGTGCTTATCGGTGACCTGCCGTCAATTTCGAGTCTGTGGCAGGCCTTTTTGGAGTCAAATTATATTGCTTATATCTTAGACGAACTGTCCACTTGCTAACAGCTATCCTACGAACATTTCTGAGCTCTTGCTGGACGTCGATACCAGTCAGATGACGATTTCATAGAGAGGTGCACATAAAAAAACGGTCATCCCGCTGCGATGTGCACCGGCGCTGTTCAGAACATGGTCTCGGGATAAAGCCACCAGTCTCTCGAAAGCGTCTTAAAACTTTCCAAACCCAGGACTGGTTTATGTGGAGCTGTGTGACAGCCCGCTGGCAGAGCCCTTCTTGCAATAGTGCAACGATTTGTGCTGCTTCTGAAGGTGTAGAATCCCAGGTAAAGTGTCAAAAGAAGCGGAGATGTGTTTGGATTAACATGTGAAAGCAAAAATCCGAAAACACGTGCTTTTACAGGGAGTAAATAGGCCGCAACTCGCGACGTATCAAACAGTTCATACATGTCTTTTTCCTTACTTCTTTACATCAGCCGGGATATCTTTTTAAATACTGGTGTGATTTAAATGAATTTGGTATCAATTTAAAGTTAAAAGTCCAATCTTTAAAATGGTGCCACTTTTTTCGTTACTAACAAAATCGTTAGCACAGAAGATCGCGTGGAAACAACTTCATGTAAGTGATTCCATAGTTTTGCTCGCGAGTGTAGTTTCACCTAATTTCATATGTGCACTTTATCGTGACTCACACTGTATTAAATACATAATTGGATCTAATCAAGGATGACGAAAACAGAAGCTTTTACGATCGAGTCATTAACTGCTTAGCTGAAAGTTCTCCTGTTTTAAAAAAAATGTTGATTGGCTAGCTTTTTATTATTATTTGTTATTAGTAAATACCTAATTATTATTTTACTTTATTTTAGTATTGTCTCGGGCCTCGTGATTGCGATCAGCCACCCGGGCCCTTCCGGCCCAGTCCGACCCTGTATGTAAGCAATAGGTAAGTAGAAGTAGGTTCTAAGCAGATAGGACGCAGCTGCTTGCATAAAACATTGAACCCCCACGCCTGCCTGCTGGCTGAGACTACTAACATCATGAATAGCAATCTGGCTGAACCTTATTCGTTTTGCCAAGCAGAGTAGATACGTTTCCACCTGTACATAAAGTTAAGTAGGTACCTAACGTAGTTAGAAACAGTAAAATATTTAGTTAAAGTAAATAAGTCGGTACACATTTAGGTAAAAGCTAAAGCTTTTGTGTAAAATGAATACAGAATTCGGATTACTGGCACCTGATTTTATTCTCATTACTTAAGCTGTTAGCAAAATCTTAATTTTCCCTCTTACTGTAAAATCCAAATCAGTGCCATCTAGTCGATAGAGTACAGACTTGCTCAGAGATAGAAACAATGTTGTAATGTTACCGGTAATAATCGGTACCGGTGTCAATCTTCGTTTTTTTTTTAAGTCGTAGCTATATTCATTGCATTGCTTACATTTAGAAACACGGATGTGACAAGATGTCAGAAAGGAATGAAACGAAACGCGACATCAATCAAACAATCCAATATGGCCGAGTGCTTCGAAAGGGGTTGTTCGCGGCTTATTCCTCCCCAAATTTTAGTTATTTTAGTATATTTTTATTGAGATACGATTGTCTTACTATATTATGTAAGTCAATGCACCTAATGAAGACGTTTGCGTAAGTATAACATCGATAAGTGTGTTATTAACACAGGAATCCTTGACATAACGTTTTTGGGAAAGTTACCAGTGGCCTCTATTCACGTTATTACGACTTTATTTACAGGTATTCTGAAGATGCCAGTTAACCCTGTGTCTGAAACGAAAAAAGGAATCGAAAAATCTAAATTTTCGCTATCGTTAAACAGAAATAATGCTGTATGTGTGACTAACGAGAACAGAAAACTTGGAGATTCTAAAGAGAACATTGCTGTGAACAAACTAGCTGCTGGTGACAATAAGGAGAATAAGCCAGTGAAACGGCCGTTCAGGAACACCTACTTCAATACTCTAAGCGCAGCTAAAAGACTCAAACCTCTGATTGAAACATCAAAGTCAATAGGTTAGTTTCCAATAGGAATGATCCACATACTTTGGTAGTTCTTGTAATTAGCAACCGAATTGTTAAATTACAAGCCTCATTAGTTTATTATGAATAGCAAATCATGTTTCATAGTTTGCTAGAGTATTTACAGCTTATGAAATCTAAAAATGTAGAGAAAATAATAGTTTATGAAATTAAATGTTCTCGAAATAAATCAGTACGTCATATTGAATTAAAGTACGCTTTGTAACTTCTCAATAATTAACGTACAAATAATATCAGGAACATACAAATGATATAATATTTTTCATTGTCAACTTTCAGATAAACACGTCCCTGATCTAATAATACTAGAGCCCAAGCCTGCCAGCACTGCCATGTTGAATGGCCACCACCAGACGGAGAACCAGTATGGAGCGGCGCCGCGGAAGACTCCCATCGCCACTCTCTCCAACCTAGGAAACACTTGCTTTCTCAACAGTGTGCTTTATACATTACGGTGAGGAATATGTATAAAACGCGACTTCGTACATGTGGATCCCGTTTTACCCCCTTCATCTATCTTATGCGGTTTAGATTTTTTCATACAAATGTTTTTTCCTGCTAACTCCCGTTCCTGTGGGAATTTTGCAATATCCTGTTGTAACTGAGCTTTAAGTTTACTAAGGTACCTGCATACCAAATTTCAAGTGTCTAACTTAAGTGGTTTAGATTTTTCATACAAAAGGATTTTCCCGCTATTTCCTGTGGTATCCCCATGTATATTCCCGTGGGAATTTCGGGAATTCCTTTCTTAGTGCACCTCTACGGTACCTAAGCTACGTCCCTTCCAAATTACAAGTGCCTACGTTTAGCTGTTTAGGCTGTGTGTTGGTCTGTCAGTCAGTCAGTTTCTCCTTTTATATATTTAGAAGATAGATAGGCTACAGAATTAAATCCACCTGTAATGTTGGTAGTGACTTGTATGATGAGTCACTCAAAGTTGAGTCCATAGTAAGATCAACTGACTCAGTTTATTATAAGAATCATCAATCAAGTGTTTAGACAATAATCTTATGTCTGCTATAACCCATCGATCCCCAAGCAGACACATATGACTGTGTAACAATTGATTATTCAATGTCTCAATTTGCTGGCCTTGAAAAGTTAAACTTGTGCTCTCTTTTGATAATGTATTGATTGTACACAACTTTTCTACAATTTGATTATTACAGATTGAGATGTGTTAATTTAGTCTTAAAAACTCAATTTATTTTCAATTAATTGTAAACTTAGACAAACTGTATTTTTGAAATGCAACATTTTTTTTAAATAATGTTAAATTAAGTCACTTCTGTAATCGGATTCATTGCATCTCAATTACGCATAACTTACTGCTATTCTGCATAGTTTAACATCAACATACTTTTGTTTTTCATTTAGATATGCACCTCGATTCCTACACAACTTACACCACCTCGTATCGGACTTGGCCAGTCTAGAACAGAAGCTAGGAAGCATCCGCATGAAGAGTTCCTCTCTAGGCCGGAGTGCGGCAGGCCTAGCGTCTTCTGGAGCTCGGTCATGGAGCAGCAAAGATCTGCTCTCTCTCGGCCAAGCAGACAACAGCTCCGGAAAGAGTAAAATACAGGTGGGCCTTATCTAACTATAACACTGATAACAGATTGGGGTGTCTGATGTTTACGATAAGCTGACATTTTAATTCCTGGTTACCTAGTTTGATATGATCTCATATTTTTTAACAAATATTATCTTAAGTGTGAGATATTTAAATTAGAATCTTTTTACTGTATGCAAAAATGGCATATTATAATATTATTGTAACAACCACTGATTTGGATTAGCAAATCTAGTTTTGATGAACTGTTTTTATTTTATTTTATTAGGCATTCATAACTTGAAAGATTACAAACTGTCCATGAGTAGGGAAATCTCTAACACTGCTGTACCTCTGGAATTTTTTATTCCACAATTTTCTTCATAACTGCCTAGCTCGCATAAATATTTATAACTATGTATTTTGAAAACCTGTAAACCTTTGAAAAAGAGGCTGACAATAGTGTCTGAGTTTCTTGCGCTGCTTCTTCTCAGCACTGGCCTAATTATTGTCCTGAAGCAGTGGTAGGGTTAATACTGGGACGTGTAAAAGTGCTTTTTTTAAAGCCTACTTACAGAAATAAATGAGTTTTATTGAGTTTTGCCTGGCCCATTCGTTAGTTCGTTTCAGGCGAATCCACTGCTGGACAAAGGACTCCACCAAGGATTTCCACAAAGACCGGTCCTGCGCCGCTCGCATCCAGGCGCCTCCCGCGACCTTCACCAAATCGTCGGTCCACCTAGTGGGAGGAATGCCCACGCTACGTCTTCCGGCTCGTGGACAATATTCTATTTTAACAATACACAATGTTCCACAGATAGCAACGGAGAAGCTTCACGAGACATACTTCAGCATGCGAGCGGCGGAGAGCAAGTGCCTCAGCAGTAGTTCGGCCGACGCCAGCCCGGAACCCTTCGCGGCTGACGCCTTCCTTGCTGCGTTGAGGGACGTCAACTCCACCTTTGAAGGTACATAATTAACTGCAATCAACACCTCGTTCATCAATACCTGCTGCAATTATACTTCTTTTACCAACCACAAGAACAAACTGCCCCCCCTAGACAAAATGCACATTTTGATCGAATCGAAAATCGAATCCGTCTAAACTCCATACAAAATTATTGTCTTTTCAATTTGTCTACTAGACCCACTGTACTCGCACAAGCAGAAAGTTGAGGTTTAAAGTTATTTTTTTTTAATAATGGTAATAAATTTATTTTTTCTAAAATTACTCATGGTAAATATACTTGTGTTACGAGTGGGATTGCCACAATAGTTCAGCGGCGGGGTTTGAACCCGCGGTTCTAGTTCTCGAGTCGGCCAGTCCGACCTTCACCGTTCATCTATTGCCACTTCATGTATGTACCTATGTTCTTTTGATGTGGCCTGTGGCAAAGTTTCTGCCTAAGCTGTTTATTCTAAATCTGGGGGCACGGTAGTGCCCCCGCCAAGTCGAGCGCGAAGCAAACACTGCCGTACCATCCTTTACTGGAACCATTTCGCCGCATTTTCAGGCCCCTATTTGAGAACCTCTAGATAAGACCAGAACACAGAAATTTTCGTCATCTATAGTCTATCCAATACAGTGTGAGTCACGTTAAAGTGTACATATGAAAATAGATGAAACTAGACCTGTTTTTATCGACAAAAAAGAGGTCAAAAAATTTTTGAGATTTTTTTTTAATTTTTTATACAATTTTTTTTCTTCCAATTACTTATTGTAAAGAAAACGTAATAACTTTTAAAATAAGTGGTAGATCCTGATAAAATAAAAACAGTAATAATGCTAAATAATAGGCGATACTTAAAAAATACATAAAATACACAAAAAAGGCCAACAAATAATAAAAAATGATACTTTTTGAAAAAAATCTGCTTTAAAATTCGTGTTTTTTTGGTTATTTGATAAATTTCTCCAAAAAATGCCCCTATAACCGGTGGTTTTTATTACTTTGTATTATTCTCTATCGTATTACCTTCGTAAAACCAAAAATCGCATGTCTCTATCCCTATTACAACATTTGCTATGATCGTTTGAACAAAGGCCTGCCACAACATTTTTCTCCGCTACAGTTAGAGACAATTTTAATTTTAACTAAAATGCTTATTTTACTTTGAAATCTTTTGTTTTTATTTGAAATCTAACTTGTCTTTATCAAAATAACAAATCTAGAGCCATTTTCAGTTTCGTTGTTAACGAAGCGTTGAATGGCGCGCCCGGAGAGGCTTAGTTCAAACGATCATTGCAAACGTTGTGATAGGGATAGAGACATGCGATTTTTGGTTTTACGAAGGTAATACGATAGAGAATAATACAAAGCAATAAAAACCACCGGTTATAGGGGCATTTTTTGGAGAAATTTATCAAATAACCAAAAAAACACGAATTTAAAACAGATTTTTTTCAAAAAGTTTAATTTTTTATTATTTGTTGGCCTTTTTTTATGTATTTTATGTATTTTTTTAGTATTGCCTGTTATTTAGCATTATTACTGTTTTTATTTTATCAGGATATACCGCTTAGTTTAAAAGTTATTACGTTTTCTTTACAATAAGTAATTGCAAAAAAAAAAATTCTATAAAAATTTTTAAAAAAATCTCAAAAAAATTTTGACCTCTTTTTTGTCGATAAAAATAGGTCTAGTTTCATCTATTTTCATATGTACACTTTAACGTGACTCACACTGTATAGCTTGATTAGAATGACAGCTGCCATCAAAAGTAACGACATAACTTTGTAGTAGCGATCAATGAGAGCTAAATATTGGCGGACAAGAAATAATTCACGTCTGACCTACAAACAATATTTTCGACGACAGTGCTTCCAATAAAATTGTTAATTTTGTGTATATGCAGCGTTAAATTACACCAATAAGTAGTAATTCGAAATTATAAAAATCAAGCTAGAGTATTAACGACGTCTCTACAAGGTTATCTCGAGTTACAAAAATGTTAGTGTTGGGACATATCGACAAATGTCATATTAAACATATTTAACAAATTTTTTTTCTAACTAATTTTTTAACATATTTAAGTCAAGTTATACGTTTTTCTAAATTTTCACTATTAAAAACCAAAAAACATTTCATTCTTAAATAATCAAACATCGGAATTCAATCACCGGTAATTTTTTGGGTATTCATAGCATTGTTGCTCTAGAAGAGATGCCCACCGCCCTCTAGCGAGAGGAAAAAACCACTGAAGAACACTGATGATAATGACTACGACTTAGGTTGTACACCCTTGACATGAATTTTAAATTTTACTGTCTTTAAATTTAAATCATAATTGTCGTTTTTATGAAGAAAAATTGGGTGCATTTTTTTTATATCATTTTTTCGAAAACTTATCGATACATCTATGTGAACCGTACGAAACATACTCAGCACTAATCACATTCGTTTGACAGCCGTCATTCTAATCAAGCTATATTGGATAGACTATAGTAAGCTGTAATCACATACTTAAAATCCAAAATTTCAAGTCTGTAGGTCATTTAGTTCCGAAGTTATGCGAAAGCAAAGTTTCGCATTTACGACACTCACTCACTCACTGATGATCATCAAAATAGAACTAGTACTTCCCATCGACTCAGAGAGCTGAAATTTGGTACAGAGAATTTGGTAAACATTAACTATAATAATAAAGAAATCGCAGTAAGGAACCAAAGACTTGGCACGACTTTGTCTAGATTTCATTACTTTTTAGAGATAAACAAGCAGCGCCATCGAGACTTGGCTAGTTTTTTACAGAATGTTTTTAGTGGGTAGATTTTACTTCTTAGAAACCTTTGTTTCAAAATGACTAAAAACTTTGAATTTCTGGTATATCTCTTTTAATTTATTGTATTCTATGTACTAATATACCTATTATTGTTTCATTGCGCAGGCAACCGCCAACAAGACGCGCACGAGCTGCTAGTGTGCATACTAGACAACATCCGCGAGACGTGTCGAGCGCTTAGCACACGCGCCGCACGATTGCAGCTACACGAAAATGGCGACAGGTTAGCATTATTTATTCATTTTCTTAGTTCAGCCACGGTAATACTATGGTCCGCCCCCTTAGACGATGTACAGATGACAGTACATCAAGTTCTGTGACATCTTATTCAGTTATAATGAGGGCTATCGTTTTTATACTTAACAGTTGGCACCCCTGGCGATTGACAGGACCTTACTCTACAGTGGCGCCATCTTGATGAGTGCAAATGCGATAGTCCTCCTACCATTTTAGCGCTCACAAGTTGGTGCCGCCACTGTCTTCGCTACTAGCAAGTGACAGGACCTTACTCTACAGTGGCGCTAACTGGTGAGCGCTAAAACGATAGCCCTCATTGGGTCAATTTTGCAACAAAACTGTATAGTCTGATGTGTTTGCTGTCCTTTGTACCATTCTAGACCAGGGGTCTCCAAACTTGGGGCCATAATTTTTTTTTCGGTTTGTTGCTAGGGCCATAACATTTTTTTAATTTTTCTGCCTCCTATGCAAACATAGGCTTAGTCTTAAGCTGTCGCGGGCCGGATTGATGACAGTGGCGGGCCGTAGTTTGGAGACCCCTGTTCTAGATCATTCAATTTCACAGCTACTTCACAGAACTTAGTTATTGCAGAGTAAAAATCAAAATCAAAATCAAAAAATATTTATTCAGTTTAGACCACAAGTGGCACTTATGAAATTGTTATGGCAAAGTTTTGCATATTGAAACTAAGTAATATTCATCTTCCAGCAACGGCATCGGCCGCCAGCCTAGCTTAGACGGCGACGGCGGGAAGCCAACCCTCGGCAACCTTCGCAAGTCCTGGAAGAAACGCAAAGAAGTGCTCGCTAGTGAGAAGAAAAACTCCCCTACGGAAGAGAAGAGCGCAGCGCCTGCCGACCCTGAGAGGGATGAGAGGTCGAGGCCTGGCTGGGACTTCGTGGCTGATGACTTTGAAGGTACGTAGTAAGAACTATAGTCTGGTCTGTGAGCACGTAGAATTTTCGCGATGTCGCGACTATGCGACGGGCGCCCGCAGTGAGTGTGCGAGCGCGACAGCAACATAATTACACGCGAGCTATAAGGATGGGTAGCTTGGGGTCATTGGACAAAATTCTACGTGCTCACAGACCGGGCTTTATCACTATATTTGCGTTTACTAGTTGACGCTACTGGTGACCAAAGGTCCTGTCAGTTGACGCCACATAAGCTACTTTCACTAAAGTCCGGTCGGCGAGCACAGAATTTCATCCAATGACCCCAAGCTACCCATCCTTATCGCTCGCGCGTGATTATATTGCTGTTGCGACTGCGGTGGGCGGCCGCAGTGAGTGTGCGAGCGCGACAGCAATTTATGCACGAGCGATAAGGATGGGTAGCTTGGGGTCATTGGACGAAATCCTATCTGCTCGGCGACCGGAATTTAGCTAGTGGTTAAGAAAACGCAGTGCTCTCTCAGAAGAGAAGAGCGCAGCGCCTGCCGACCCTGAGAGGGACGAGAGGTCGAGGCCTGGCTGGGACTTCGTGGCTGATGACTTTGAAGGTACGTAGTAAGAACTATAGTCTGGTCTGTGAGCACGTAGAATTTTCGCGATGTCGCGACTATGCGACGGGCGCCCGCAGTGGGTGTGCGAGCGCGACAGCAACATAATTACACGCGAGCTATAAGGATGGGTAGCTTGGGGTCATTGGACAAAATTCTACGTGCTCACAGACCGGGCTTTATCACCATATTTGCGTTCACTAGTGGACGCCACTGGTGACCAAAGGTCCTGTTACTAGTTGGCGCCACATAAGCTACTTTCACTAAAGTCCGGTCGCCGAGCAGATTTCGTCCAATGACCCCAAGCTACCCATCCTTATCGCTCGCGCGTGATTATATTGCTGTTGCGACTGCGATGGGCGGCCGCAGTGAGTGTGCGAGCGCTATAGCAATTTTATGCGCGAGCGATAAGAATGGGTAGCTTGGGGTCATTGGACGAAATCCTATCTGCTCAGCGACTGGAATTTAGCTAGTGGTTAAGAAAACGCAGTGCTCTCTCAGAAGAGAAGAGCGCAGCGTCTGCCAACCCTGAGAGGGACGAGAGATCGAGGCCTGGCTGGGACTTCGTGGCTGATGACTTTGAAGGTACGTACGTAGTATGAACTATAGTCTGGTCTGTGAGCACGTAGAATTTTCGCGATGTCACGACTATGCGACGTGCGAGCGCGACAGCAACATAATTACACGCGAGCGATAAGGATGGGTAGCTTGGGGTCATTGGACGAAATTCTACGTGCTCACAGACCGGGCTTTATCACCATATTTGCGTTCACTAGTTGACGCCACTGGTGACCAAAGGTCCTGTCACTCGCCTTACTAGTTGGCGCCACATAAGCTACTTTCACTAAAGTCCGGTTGCCGAGCAGATTTCGTCCAATGACCCCAAGCTACCCATCCTTATCGCTCGCGCGTGATTATATTGCTGTCGCGACTGTGCAATGGGCGGCCGCAGTGAGTGTGCGAGCGCGACAGCAATTTATGCGCGAGCTATAAGGATGGGTAGCTTGGGGTCATTGGACGAAATCCTATCTGCTCGGCGACCGGAATTTAGCTAGTCGTTAAGAAAACGCAGTACTCTCTCAGAAGAGAAGAGCGTAGCGCCTGCCGACCCTGAGAGTTCGTGGCTGACGACTTTGAAGGTATGTAATTGCTATTTTTAATGCAGACTATACAAGCGACTGAACTCCGAATACCACGGCCATTAAGTTTACATTGTTCACATTTACAGAGTAAACTAACTTTTTTTTATCTTATTCTTCAATCCCACCTATGATGATCTGACATTGATGGCTGGGGTCTACAGTCTGAACTGATTCCAAAACGGACCGAGGACCCGCGCGAGTTTAAGCGGAGGCCCTAGGGCCTAAGTGACTCGCAATGAAGTGGAAATCTAGTCTTACCTACACTCAAATATATTTTTTCCAAGCATGATGGTACTAAGGCCCGTTTTCCACCAAGGCGCAGCGGAGACGTGACTCGAACAACCAATCGGATTTCATTCTCCAATAATTAATGAAATCTGATTGGTTATTCAATCCACATGTCCGTTCCGCTTCGCCTTAGTGGAAACCGGGCCTAACTGATCTTCATCATCATTTCAGCCATAGGACGTCCACTGCTGAACATAGAATAAAGACCCTATGTACAACATGAATGGAATGCAATTAAGATATTGACTATTGACTAATAGGCTTCCCCCAATGCTTTCCACATTGATCGATTGGTAGCGGCCTGCGCCCAGCGCTTCCCTGCTACCTTTATGATGTCGTCGGTCCACTTTATCATGGTTATTATGTTGTCGCAGGCATGATGGTGGTCCGCACGATGTGCCTGGAATGCGAGACAGTCACGGAGAAGTCTCAAGCCGTGTGCGAGTTATGCGTGCCGGTAGGCGACGACGACGCCGACGACGAGCCCTTCCGCGCCGCCTGCCTGTCCAGCGAGTACCTGCGCGACCAGAACAAGGTAACACAGACTTCTAAAGCCCGGTCCGTGAGCACGTAGAATTTTTTCCAATGACCCCAAGCTACCCATCCTTATCGCTCGCGCGTAATTATGTTGCTGTCGCTCTCGCACACTCACTGCGGGCGCCCGTCGCACAGTCGCGTCAGCAATATAATTACGCGCGAGCGATAAGGATGGGTAGCTTGGGGTCATTGGACAAAATTCTACGTGCTCACAGACCGGGCTTTAAAAAGAAAAGGAATTTATTCAATGCAAGTACAAAATAAAATAACCAGGCCTGTTCATCTCCCCGAGTGGGCATCGAAAACAAAACACGCGCGGGGTACCATCCACAAGAGATTCACGAGCGAGTAGTGAGTGACGCGTCGCTTGCCTCTCCAGCTAGTACCTGCGCGACCAGAACAAGGTGATAATGTTACTATGACTATGATGATAGGGAGTATTCTTAATGCTCTCATAGGCACATTGCATCTGTGCGACCAGAACAAGGTAAGTGTTACTTCGATAGTGAGTGTAGTGGAAGTTATTAAATGAAAAGAGTGGACTGTATAAAATTAGTTGTCTATTCGGTATAAATTTACAATGATGTTGAGACTGTTTAGTGCAAAGTCGTTGAAGAGAGTGCGTCAGGATCGTCTTCTTCTATGTTCGCTCGCGAACCGAACATTGCTCGTTCGTTCGCCGAACGCTCGCCGCTCCCTCCGGTCACGCCGCCCGCGGGCAATGTCCGTGAGTAGACAGTAAGGCTGTTATGATGATAGGGAGACGCTCACAATACTTACTTTTCTCGTAGGTATAACTACAGAGTGCCTGTGCGACCAGCAGGGTTGCATGATTTAAATCAAGTTGATTTAAATCATGATTTAAATCACGATTTTTATTACATGATTTTTTTAATAAAAATCATTGATTTAAATCAATGACCGAAAATGGAATTAATGAAAAGCTGGGAGTTAAGAGCCATTTCACAAAAATATTCCGCGCGAATTTAGGTAAAAGCTGTCAACGCAACGTCAAAAGAGTAAAAAGAACGCTGAAATGGACAAAAAAATCTTGAGCCGTGACCGTATTAAGACTTGATTTAAGTTATTAATTTTAAGGTAGAATGAGGTATTCAAACTTGATTTAAGTTATTAATTGTAAGGTAGAATGAGGTATTCAAACTTGATTAATTAATTTAAATTTTTAATAGAGTTTATTAAGTCTTATATTTCGATTCATAATGAAACACGAATAGGTATAATATGTAAAATATATATTAAGTACAAAATAAAGACAGTCACATAGTGAAAAATAAATCTGCCCCCTTACAGCTCCATCATCGGACCCTGGATACAGGACTTTGAAAATGAGTCTGCGGCAATTTTTTCGTAAAATGGTTGTGGTAGATAGGGCACTGTGAATTAAGCAAAAGAGTTTTAGTAAATCCGTTTCATTAGTGGTCAACAACAAGGATTGACCTATCTTTTGCAGTTATTAAATAATCTCTGGGTGTTGCTTAAGATAGTAATTCATGCTTCCAAAATCTTAGGAATTCGCACGAAAATGTAAAATGGCTCTTAATATTAATCAACTGTAATGTTCGAAAACAATGTTAATATTAGGTGTTAATGTATGAAATTGTTGTTTTGTATGGAGAATCTGAAAAATTTAATTTTTCCATACAATCACATTTGCGATCTTTCAGATAACCACATAATTAATTTTTTTTGGCGGTGTTGCCTTCTCCATACATCAATTCTACGTTAATAAAAATGTATTCCGTAAGAAAAACTAAAGAAATGATCGCAGAACCTAATAAAAATAAAAAAATGATTGATTTTTTGATTAAAATAAAAAAATTGTGATTCTTATCCACCCTGGCGACCAGAACAAGGTAACTGATTGGACTGGAAGGATTGTGCATCGCCCCGAGTAGGCATCAAAAACAAAACACGCGCGGTGTACCCGCCGATCGGTTTTAGATTATCATCTTTCGCGCGCTGTCAACTGCAAGGCGAGACGTTTACGGAGCGGATAAGTGTGCGTGCGTTGCGGTATGGAGTTTCATAAGAATACTGACTGCCTCGAGGTGATACGGTTACGATCCCTTTCCGGGTTGATAAGTGCGCTAGGTCCTTTATAGTGTTCGGGAAATACAGCAGCAAACAACGAATTCTAGTCCCTAGCTGTTTGCATTGTAAAAGAGTTATCGAATCGCTTAGTGCGAGCTGGTGGAATGTCGACAATATAGGAATGGTACGCTAGCCTGCGTCTAATTCCCCGGTGAAAAAAAGGGGCTGGTGGAATTCCACCAGGTCGTATAATTCTTTTTTTTTGTGATTTTAGTTAACAAATCAGGTGTTGCAGCGTTCAGTTCAGATAGAATACTATCTGAGTAACTTATAAACGTTTTCTTTTTTACAGTACTGGTGCGAACGATGCCTCCGCTACAACGAGGCGAGACGGAGCGTCGCCTACTCGCGTCTCCCGCGACTACTAGTGCTGCAACTGAAGCGGTTCAGCGGCGGCATGGAGAAGATCACGCGTCACGCGCCCACGCCGCTGCTCATGCCTTGCTTCTGCGAGCCTTGTGCTCGCCGGCTGCCCGAGCAGCAGCCGCAACACAGGTATATACAGACAGGTCTAAAGTCCAGTCGCCGAGCACGTAGAACTTCGTCGTACCAGGCTTTAGTCGCAACATAGTTACATAAAGACAGGTCACAATATCTGAAGCGGTTCAGCGGCGGCATGGAGAGGATCACGCGTCACGCGCCCACGCCGCTGCTCATGCCTTGCTTCTGCGAGCCCTGCGCTCGCCGGCTGCCGGAGCAGCAGCCGCAACACAGGTACAGATAAACAGGTCTAAAGTCCGGTCGCCGAGCACGTAGAATTTCATCCAATGACCCCAAGCTATATTCTTATCGCTCGCGCGTAATTATGTTGCTGTCGCGCTCGCACACTCACTGCGGCCGCCCGTCGCACAGTCGCGACAGCAATTACGCGCGAGCGATAAGGATGGGTAGTTTGGGGTCATTAGATGAAATTCTACGTGCTCGGTGACCGGGCTTTAGTCGCAACACAGTTACATAAAGACGGGTCACAATATCTGAAGCGGTTCAGCGGCGGCATGGAGAAGATCACGCGTCACGCGCCCACGCCGCTGCTCATGCCTTGCTTCTGCGAGCCCTGTGCTCGCCGGCTGCCGGAGCAACAGCCGCAACACAGGTACAGATAAACTGGTCTAAAGTCCGGTCGCCGAGCACGTAGAATTTCGTCCAATGACCCCAAGCTCGCTCGCGCGTAATTATGTTGCTGTCGCGCTCGCACACTCACTGCGGCCGCCAGTCGCACAGTCGCGACAGCAATATAATTACGCGCGAGCGATAAGGATGGGTAGATTGGGGTCATTGGACAAAATTCTACGTGCTCACGGACCAGGCTTTAGACAGGGTTAGTCGCATCATAGGTACAGATAAACATGACTGGTCGCATCATAGGTACAGATAGGGCTAGTCGCAACACAGGTACCTACATAAAGACAGGTCACAATATCTGAAGCGGTTCAGCGGCGGCATGGAGAAGATCACGCGTCACGCGCCCACGCCGCTGCTCATGCCTTGCTTCTGCGAGCCCTGCGCTCGCCGGCTGCCGGAGCAGCAGCCGCAACACAGGTACATATAGACAGGGCTAAATTCCGGTCGTCGAGCACGTAAAATTTCGTCCAATGATCCCAAACTACCCATCATTATCGCTCGCGCGTAATTATATTGCTGTCGCGACTGTGCGACGGGCGGCCGCAGTGAGTGTAAGACTGATTTGACTGATAAAATAAAACTGATTTTTCAATTAATTTAGTTCATAATCTAACCCAAGTGCTCCAGATATTAATCAACCACTATACACCTTCCAGATACATCCTATGGGGCGTGATAATGCACCTGGGGCAGACGCTAACCGGCGGCCATTATGTAGCATACGCACGAGACTCGCCCGCCGAACCAGCTTGTCGCCGCCAAGCGCCGCCGGATCACGCTGCGCCGCCCACTACGTCTGGGTAAGAAGATTGCAACTTTATGTATAGTGGGATAAGGTTTAAAGCAGTGTTTTTCAACCTTTTTCATAACACGACCCCCCCTAGTATGAAAAAATTTTTGGCGACCCCCCGACCGTTCGCTTTTTTTTCATGCATTTTATAATGTTGCAAAGATGTTTGTAGGGACCGAATACTTCAATCCATAGAACATTTGCATAATTAGATTTGGGATTAATCTGTCTTGAAAATATATTTTTTTTTACTGAAGTAGTTTTTACGACCTCTCGCGACCCCCCTATAGAGGCGCGACCCATAGGTTGAAAAACACTGGTTTAAAGTGACAGCTAGTCAACCCACAAGGTGGACCGCCGACCTGATTAAGGTAGCAGAAGGACGCTGGACGCAGGCCGCTACCAAACCGTGCGATGTGGAAGTCATTGGGGAAGGCCTATGTTCAGCAGTGGACGTCCTGTGGCTGAAATGATGATGATGATGACAGCTAAAGCTTGGTCCGTGAGCACGTAGAATCCCGTCCAATGACCTCAAGCTACCCATCCTTATCGCTCCCGCGTAATTATATTGCTGTCGCGACTGTGCGACGCGCGCCCGTAGTGAGTGTGCGAGCGCAACAGCAACATAATTACGTGCGAGCGACAAGGATGGGCAGCTTGGGGTCATTGGACGAGATTCTACGTGCTCACGAACCAGGCTTTAGTCACCGCTAAGATGGCCGCTACCTCCAGGTAAGGGGATTGCACTTGTATGTAAAGCGAGGGTAGGGTTAAAGTGGCAGACGCTGACCGGTGATCACTATGTAGTGTGACTTGCCACGTCGGGGTAAGGAGAATGTAAAGCGATGTTAAGTTCAAAATAGCAGACAGACATACGAGGCTGTTCATAAGGTCGAATATAGCGAAGAAACCTTCATGTATAGAATAGTAAGGTACAAAGTATCAGACAAATATGTCGCGCTGTACATTACCTTTTGAGTAAGGTTCACAGTGCCCATCAACGTTTATAATTTACTAGCTTTCCGCCCGCGGCTTCGCCCGCGTGGAATTTTGTCTGTCACAGAAAAACTTTATCGCGCGCGTCCCTGTTTCAAAAACCGGGATAAAAACTATCCTATGTTCTTTCCCGGGACTCAAACTATCTCTATGCCAAATTTCATCAAAATCGGTTGCGAGGTTTAAGCGGGAAAGCGTAACAGACAGACAGACAGACAGACAGAGTTACTTTCGCATTTATAATATTAGTTGGGATACCTTATTTTCAGCTGTGTAAGGTTCAAAATGAGAGTCAACCACAGTAAAAGCTTTTGTCAATTAGCTTGCAACCTCGTTCATCACATCAAAACCCCTTGTAATCAAAATAATCCGTCAAGACAACAACGCGACATCGTGAATCCTCATTTATTTTTACGATAGACTAGACGTCAGGGGCTTCCACGTAGGGTTGCCAACTTTTCTTTCAAAATATAAAGTATATCAGAGGTCGGAGAAGGAAAACAGACAGTATTAAAAAAAAAACAAACAGTATAGCTCTACAACGCGTACTTAAATGTGGTGTTGGGCATTTACTTTTAAAAATATCTATGAATACTAGTGATGCTAGCTGAAAACAGTATTTTGTATACTTTATTTTTGTTCAACAGTAAAAAGTATAATTTAGTGAAAAACAGTATAATACTGTTCAAAACAGTATAGTTGGCAACCCTACTTCCACGATACCACGCTTATCGTACCTTCACTTGTCGCGTTACCAAGAAGCACAGTATCGGCCGTCCGTTAGTCAGATTCGATTATCACCAAATAGATAATGTTACTGACACAACAGCTCTATACTCCTTATGTTAAAGTAAAAAAAACAATGCTTATAATCAAATTCACGCCCGTGTTTACACGAACCAATCACAGAGCTCTATTCAACGCTGTGCGTTCGATGCTGCTTCACTTAAGCAAGCATCGTTTGTGAATACAGGTTTTAGTCTCATTTTTCACTTACTGAGAAAACCCAAAGTCCCCTTACGTATCTAGATGTCACGTACAGAGCATGTGCAAAGTTGTGTCATAAAATATTGTAAATAGGTGCTATTTTTCAATAAAACTGTTTAATGTGCTGGCGACTGTACTTTTTACCTTTTGACAGCTCGGTCTAGTCTTATCCTGATTGATAGACTTGTCATTGATAAAAATAATCTAATACATTCTTATTTATTTGACAGACCATAAAGTAGGTGCGAACTGGTTTCCTTGCCAGTTTTTTAATCATTTGTCCGATTACAATATCTTATCATGAGTATAAAATTTAATAAAATTAGTTCATCACGACGCAAAACATGATACGTAATAGGTACCTATGCTAGATCACGCAGTTTTTATCAGATCGTACGTGATTGTTTAACCTTTATTTTTTATGGCAGTGTTGCATTTTAATCGTGAATGATATCTGCCTGTGTTAGACCACACCATACTTTTTAATAAACATCTCCAACAGATATATTCTTACCTAACTTTTTTTTCTCTGATCCGGTTGCATGAATATTTGTTAGAAACTCGTCAGATAGCCAACCTTCACTTGTTAGGATAACTCACTGAATCTTTGTGAACAGGGAAACTGACATTTAAGGCTGGGTTGCACCATTTTATTTTAACTCTAACAAACGTCAATAGTCTCAAACTCAATACAAATAACTCCAGTTCTGGTCATAGTCACGGTTGAAATAAGGTGGTGCAACTCAGAGTTTTCAGTATAATATGCGTAGATCAAGACATTCAAATTCATCTCTAACCTTAGCCATTCAAATTCCAGATTCATGCGAACGCTGTTCAACCGGCCTCGCCCGCCGCCGGCCGGTTGCGCGGCTAAAGAATGCTGCGTGCCTAGACCTCGGAGCGAAGCGTGCTGGCTGGCCTGCGACGACGAACTAGTCAAACCCATCTCCAACGAGGAGTTCGAGGATTTACTCTCCGCGGAACCCAAAATGAGGTCCGCGGCAACACCATACCTACTCTTCTACGTCAAAAGCGAAGTCGGCTAGTGACCGCCGCACGCGTTGCGGCCGCGAAACGCTCGCTACTTCAGCAAACGGTACTTTGGCGTCTTCATGTATTCATTTGACTATTGATTGGTGTAGCGAAGTCGATTTTTGATGTCACCAGTGACTTGGATTTTGTATTTTATGGTAAAACATTTGCCTGTTTTTGGTTTTGGAGACACGTACAAAATGAATCGATTAGAAATATATTTTTAAAAGATCGCTAACAAAATGTGTAATGATTGTTTTAGTCTGGTGTATGTAATTGACAATTGATTTATCATTGTCTATTGGTCACAAGTTTTCATGTTTATTGTAATTATATGAAATTCAAAAATCGACTCGCTGGCATAAGTGATATTACATTGGCAGCGGGTATCGCGCGTTTGGTGTCACGTGGAACAAACGATTGTATTGCTGTGTAAAATAAAATTGCTGTAGTAACTAAACTACGGTTTAACGTCCGTATTGCCTTGTATAAACAGAACGGCTAGCAGGTCCAAGTGAATATCTACCAGTGTTGTTCAAACCATACAGGTCTTATGACAAAGATCGTTATACGTCGTACGATTAAGGTGCTCGATATTGAAGCTATACGGTCCCTTTGTACTACGTCAACGTAACTTAAATACATTCGATTTAACATCGATTCTAATCTAGAGATTTATAATTCGAGTTGATCAGAATCGCAGATTATTGCAGTACTCTCACTAAATAGACACGAAAATACGACCCACTAAGGACATCTTACCATGAAATTTCGTTGTGACGAATGCCATTGGTCAATAGACTCACTGTTACACTTCTGCACCAATATCTCAATAATCTGCAATTATGAAACTGCTCGCATTATAAAATCAACTAACCTATCTTCAGTAGCTTCTTGGTTTCTTCTAAAGCCTGGTCCGTGAGCACGTAGAATCCCGTCCAATGACCCCAAGCTACCCATCCCACACTCACTGCGGGCGACCGTCGCACAGTCGCGACAGCAACATAATTACGAGCGAGCGATAGGGATGGGTAGCTTGGGGTCATTGGACGGGATTCTACGTGCTCACGGACCAGGCTTTAACACCTTTTAAAATGTCGAAATTGTTCCTAGAATGTTCTAAGGCGGTTCCCAGTGAACATGGAGTATTATTTCACACCGTCTAATCTATTAGATTGTAACTTAGCTCTTTCGTTCTTTCATTTAGACGCTTAAAAGACAAACCTAGATGTAGGCACAAACTAATAATGTGTGTCAGCCTGACGTGATATTATGAACGTAGCTAAAGTATATTATATGTATATGAAAAATAGTATTTAGATATCGATCAAATATATTGTAAAGTATAACAAGCGTTCGAGATATTTTCACTCGTTACGATCTGACAATATGGACTCTTAAATAGTTTGGATATATCTTCTGATGTATACTGATTGTATATTTGACGTTTAGCCTGTTACTGCGTGAAATATTATATGAGATGTATATTGCGGCGTGAAGCATAAAATATTATATTCTGGCCTAAACTATATGGCTCGATTCTGAGATTTCAATTATCTATTACTAAAGCCCGGTCTGTGAGCACGTAGAATATTTATCCAATGACCCCAAGCTACCCATCCTTATCGCTCGCGCGTAATAATATTGCTGTCGCGACTGTGCGACGGGCGCCCGCAGTGAGTGTGCAAGCGCAACAGCAACATAATTACGCGCGAGCAATAATAATGGGTAGCTTGGGGTCATTGGACAAAATTCTACGTGCTCGCAGACCAGACTATAACTAAATATAAGTATTTGTCTCTTTTTAGTCTTAGTACACAAAATATACAAGATGACTGTAAAACAAAGCTGTCAACTATTTTTTACAGTTTTATGTGTTATTTGTGCAATATAATTGTGAATATATTTCAGTCTAATTATAGATAATTTTAGATAGAATTTACACTCGAATGACAAATCATTAAGATAAGTTGGATAATTTACCCTGCTAAGATTCTAAAGAACAAAGAGGTATTATAGTTTTAGATATAAAATCTTAGGATCGAGCCCGTTGTCTGTTTGTCGCATAGTTCCAATCTAAATACGATGTTATCGACCAATGAATATAGAAAACAATATTTTTCCTCAACGTTAGATTACACTATCGAATTTTATTACCAGTAATTTATTTAATGTTAACCCTTTTTTGCGATATGTTAATGTTCGACCTTTATGTGACAAAACGCACATGTAGTTACTTTACTTAGTTTAGAATTCAATGAGACTACAACGATACAGTGCTTGCTACGAGATACGACTGCTTTCTTTAAAATTTTTAATACTCTGCGAATAAGAATTTATTATTATTGTGCATCTATGAAAACTTTTGTTCTAAACAACCTCAATACTATTTTTGTACATGGCAGCTAAATTACTGTGTAAATTATTTATTGATACTTTTTTTTAATTTTATACAATAGCCCCTGATTTTCGCAGGCAATAAACAAAAATGTGCAACTATTTTATAAAATTGTAAATAACCAATCATCTCAAATTGTATTTATAAATACTAACTTTTCTATGCGTGTCTTCAAATCAACTCTCAATATTGCCTGCTGAAATCTAAACTCTATCGCTAATAGAGGGTTAATAAATTAAAAAGTTGAAATTGTAATTTTTTATTTTAGGTGCATCTAGGTGTAGCATACACACAAATCGTGCACATTCGGTAATATTAAAATGACCAATGGTTTTGAAGTACGAAGATGTTAACTTTCATTTTGTATTGTGATAACTATTAAAAAAAAACACCAACAAAAATAATATACAAAATTAATGATTGCATGAATTTGAATATTTTCAGTGGTTCTTTTCAGAGGAACTATGTATTGATATTTGATACTAAATGACACCAGTTCTAAATACTTACAATTTAGCCCCATAAATAAATGTTCAACTTGTGGCTTGAAATCCGTCATATTATAGTTGATTTTTCATAGATATAAAGAAGTGTTCTAGTATGAATTATACATGTAGTTATTGGCAGTAGCCACCGAGGAGATCGAATGTGCACGATATAAATTTCCTTATGAGTAAAACGCGGCGATACTGTGTAAACTACTGTAAATTTTATTGCAGATGCCATTCCAAAAACCTTTGAAAAAGGTACAATTCTTGTCAGTAGTTATATGAGTTTTATGTTTAGTTTTATCGGACAAAATGTTATTATCATTCATTTTCATTGTAAATTGGATTTGGATAATAAAAGTAAGTTCAATATGTACTTGTTTTATTTCGCGTTATTACAGGCGTATGATCTCGTATGATGAACTCTAAGAAACTGATCCGTATGGTAGAAGATACTACGCGAATTTGTAACAGAAATAAATGGAATTAGTTATTTAGAATAAAATTATGAAATTGCTTGCAGGTTCTGCTTAATTTTAGAAAATTATTACCTATTGGGTATAAGTAAAACTACAAAAGTTACCCACGCCAGCAACACATAAAAATCAAACAATTTGCTCAATTCATCAATCATACGCACTTAACTTCGGAGGACCTTGAGAGGCCAATATAGTCAATTTAAAATGCAAAACGTGTTTCTCTATCGCGACATAGTGGAAGAAAACTCGCGACCTAGCCTGCCTGGTCTGGCGTGTTCATGTGGTCGACCGATAATAGTGATAAGGGGGTAAGCTGGGTTTAACATCAAGAGATAAAATCGATGACCGGGCACAAGTCTCGTCTTAACTTTAACGCGGTAGGGTCGTGTGTGTAGTGTGTAATTTTTTATGTTTAATTTATTAATTGAACAGAACAATGAAAGCTGTAGAAACAAGGAATAGACATTTTGTAAGTACACTTAACTAAATAGTACCTCTTACTTTAGGATTTAAGTTTTATTTATTTATGACCTACTTTCAGATGACATAAACAGGGAGATTAATTTGTGATAATATTTAATTATGATGAATAAGTTGTGAATCTTTCATTCATACAATGAAATAGTTGCTGTTTTGACTAAAAAATAGCCATTTAGAAAGAAGTCACAAACATTTTCATATTTTATTTTACTACAATGACTGCCCACAAATAAAGTGGTTTTCCAATTATTATTATACAATTTTATAAAAAAAATGGTAGGATCCTTTTCTGAAAACTGGCTACATATAAAAATGGCCACCTACCTGTCCATGACATTGCGTTGACCTCTAAAGTCTTTAGTGGGAATTGCTGTCATTCTACACACCTATCGCTACTGCCGTGCTTGTGAACTATTATTTAACTTTTAAATTAAGTTATATTTGAACTAAAATGTCTGGTGTGAGTATACATTATTTCATTTAAATTGGTTTAAGTGCTTTTAAATAATAATTTGGCAAATTAATGTAATTTGACAAAACAATGTTTTAAAAACTAGATTAGGCTTTTAGACTGACGTCAAACTGCTAAATTGAAATGAACGATGACCACAATTGCATTACAATTAACACTTGACACACACGAATTATTGGTCATTGTGCATTTTTATTCTGACTTCTATTGTTCTATTAAAGATACTAGGTAGTGTTAAGGCCGGTTGTAAAGTATAGCAGCAACTTGTTGATTGTTTTATCATTATGAAAAGTTATTTTTACAAAATATAATTATGTTATTTAACTCTATGATTTAGAGTATTGGCTTTGACTTGTTCGTATATGAATGATGATCTTAATGTTTGTGATATATTATCATAACCTAACCTACAAATAATCAAGGAAAATGTAATGTAAATAAAAGTAAATAGGTAAATAAAATATTCACAAGCAAAATGACTTTTAAAGAGACATTTTTTTAATGATATTTTGATTACTATCTCTCATATTTTAAAATAATAAAGCTGCATGGTTTCAATCTATGAGTAGAAAAAAGTGGAAAAAGAATAAATAGGTGAGGAATTAAAGTACAATAACTGCCACTATAAGCAGCTGTAATAGGTGTGATAAATTACCTACTATAAAATGTGTGAAATGTTCAAATTCTGAATAATCAAACAAATTCTGGTTAGATTTTCTTTTTATAATGTTATGACAATTGATGAATATAGGTCATATTATAATACCTTCTATTTTATTAAATATGTTAATGCAAATAAATGTATAAATATTTCATATAGCTTTACCTGCATGGCCGGTATTTTCGATTAATTTATCCTGGGAGAAAGAAACCTTGCAAAAAAGCCCAATTTATTTGTAAAAAAATTCAATGCGCACTTATTGCATTGTACGGAACCAGCGCGCAAGTAGCTCTGTAAACTATGTTTCACTTTGTTTAATTGTCACATTGGTGTTATTTTTCTTAGTAGGTACTTAGGCATAATTTTAACAAAACTTATGAAGTTGTAAAAGACAAGATGGAATTAAAATTAGCTTTAGCTTTACAATATACATATTTTTTTAAATAATATTAATTTGTTTTTCACAAATTAATAAAGTCCCACTAACTTAAAACAGATTCCCAATTTAATAGCAGAAGAGCTCTTTGAAATCCTACTCACAGAAAAAATAAAAATTAATGCTTAATGCAGCAGCCGCTAGAAGAACAGCTGTTTGCAAACAGCCCTTTGTTGGCAAATAAATAATTTTTACTTTTACAAGGTAATATATATGACAAAATGTTTCTTACCCCTGCCGAATTACTACATTTTTTCCGGAAATTGAAATTCCGGAAGGAAGTGCAATTTATAGTTCGTTACTTCATTCAGTTGACTTTCTTTTAACGTCCGGTGAACGATGACCTTATGAACTGTCAAAAAATCCGCGAAAGTGGGATCAATGACCGTTATCATCAATCAAAACAATTCAATTCAATCAATACAGAAAATTTTTACTAGATAGTAGTGCACCGCTTACTGATGCTAAAACTATTACCATTCAGACCTATTGGCAAGTTTTCAAAAGTTTAAATTTAGAAGCCATCGAACTAGCAGTGTTCCTGTGAAATGGGCATACGGGTTGCAATTTATGCATGTGTAACTGCACATATCGAGTATTTGTGGTTTGGTGAAGTTGATATCGGTGGATAAATCCGCGTGGAATTTGGTTTCTGTGGAGACACTTACCCCGTCGCAACGCTGCGTTGCGCGCGCCGCTCGCTACTCCCCGTCCCCGTCTACTACGCAAGTGCCGACGCTGTGGGGTACAGTTTTCCACGGCTAAAGGGCAGTTCAAGATCACAATCGCCGCCTGTTTTACCTACCGCGGAGTTCCGTAAAAGATTGTTACACCATATCGCAGCGAACATGGTTTGGTCGACAGTTTACGATGGGAAGACCGAGGTAAATAATTTAGCTGTCTGAAATTAGATCTTACGTGAACTATTTTGTTGGTGCGACGCCTTGAAAACTTTACGCCGGTTTTTGTCGTAGGCTTAACGATTGCGACGTAACATTTGATGATAAGTTCTCCAAATTTTCGGTCTATTGATTTGTTAGTTACTTCAATGTTTTTATTAAGGTAGCTAGGAACATAGCAGC